AGCAAAGGTCAGCCAGATGGTCTGGCAGAGGCAGGGCCCAGAGATTAGGAGGAGTTAAACTAATTGCCTTAATCCCATTGCATGTGCATCATCTAGATCCTGGCAATTATCATGCTGAGTGCAGCACTCCCATCTCCAGGCAAATGCCTCATGGTTGGGAACAGATGGGAGAGGAACAAGATGGGGGACGGGATGAGCTGGGTCAACGTGGGGGAAATCCCAGGGGCTCAGCTCCAGGGAGGGCTGGGACGGCTCCCAGGGAGGCTGCAGGGGAATGTCTTACAGCACTGATGGCCCCACAGCTCTGCAGTCCAGCATAGGCAGGAGAACCTCATCTTAGGGGACAGCTTCAGCATGGCTGGTCAGACCCTCACCATGTCCAACTTCAGACACCACAGGAGCTCAGGGATTTTAGGGCCATTCTCCATCTCACTCCCCTTCTCTCCAAACTGCTCCTGAGCTTTGCAGTTCCTGTCCTGTGCTCTTACCTGTCTGGGGAACATTCGACAGCTGCTCCATCAGTTTGTTCTGCCAGAGGGCTCTAGTCTCTCTGTCAGGGCTGGAGGAACCAGAAGGAAAGCAAATCAGCATGGGAGTCCTGGGAGAAGGTACACCCTCCTCTGCCCCCCTGTGCAAGCCCCCAACAACGGGATTAAGCTCTTCCAAAACTCATTACACACCCTGCCACAGCAGCCCCAGGCAGGTGCTGAGGCATCTACAGATCCTGCCCAGGACTGGGTCGGTCTGTGCTGTCAGTAAGAGAGGGCCACGCAGTGGGGAACCCAAGGCACAGACATTCTGGCTCACCCCAGGTTCACCCAGGGATTCAAGCACCAAATCCTACTCCAGTTCTGCAGCAAAAGGACACAGACACATTGTTTTTCACACCGAGATCTAAGGCAATTTGGGTGTCAGTCAAGAAGGAAGCACAGCTTCCCTCCTGAGCAACCCCCAGGAGATGACACAACCTGTGAGCATCCGGGCACAACAATCCCTGGAGAGGGAACTGGTGTGGGTGGGAACGAGTGTGGTGGGGGAAGGAATACCTGCAGTACTTCTCCAGCATGAACTTGGACAGATCCTGCAGGATCTTCTCACTGTGCAGAGCCACAAATTGCTGCCGACAGATCTGACCCAGGGAGCAACAGAGAGTCACAGGTTAACAGGCACTTTCCCCTCCCTGCCCTCGGTGCTTCTTAGCCAAGACAGGTCAGAGGTGAGGAGCGGGCAAGCAAGAGTGGGAAGGGGGGGCTGCTGGACAAGGGTGAAGGGAATCAGCCTGGGGAGGTGGGAAGCAGAGTCCAAGCCACATTTCTCAATCTAACAGCCCCTGCAGGACTCCAGGGAAAAGAGCCCAGGGCAGGACAGAGGCAGCCAGGTGCTGATTTACAGGCACAGATTCTCCCACACACGCCCCCGGAAGCGGGGGAAGAGATGGGGCCATGGCACTAGGAAATCAGTTGCAACTGTCAGCAAGCACCCCAGGTTTACCTTGCCTGGGTAAATAAATGAGCCTGTGGAGCAAAGCCCAGGGGAGGCGAGGGCTGGCAAGTGCCCAGAGGAACAGATCAGCAAGATCTCTGCTCACAAAGGACCCGGGAGGACACTTTTACCTGGTTCATGACGTCCACGGTGAGCGCATGAGTCCAGTAGCAATCGTGGACTGAGACGAAGGTCAGACCCTGCCTGGGAGGCAGCAGAAGGGCCATGAAGTCATGCTGAGAGGCCTCTCTCCCTGATATCCCTGACCCCATACAAACCATCTTGCTGGTGGTGGGGTCCCTGCAGGGACCACGCAAGGAGGGGGACCCCCTGCACAGCACCTGCAGATCTTCAGAGAGAGAGGGCTAATCCTGCCACCTCCCTGTCCCTGCCCTGCTGCCTCCTCTCACCCCTTCCCTGCCAGAAGGCCCAACACCCACCCACCAGGGAAACCTCTTTCCCACATCACAGGTCGTGCCCTGGGATGCTCTCCCAGCAGAGACTGAGTCCCGGAGCCAAGGAAGAGCCGCGGCTGCCCGCTCCCTACCTGAGGCAGTGCAGAGCCGTGAGCATCATGTGTGTGGAGTCCAGGGAGTGGATGAAGTTGGGTGGGAAGGCATTCTTCTGTTTCACTGTGTCAGGCTTCCTGCAGCACAGAGATGGAGATGGGAGGAGCTGGGGCACCTCCAGGGCCAAAGAGGAGGGTGCCAGCACAGAGGCAGTGCCAGCCAAGACCTGGGATTGATGGGGACAGCCCTGGAAGACCCCAAGGCCCTGCTGAAGCCCAGAGCCCTTCTCCTCTGGCTGGCTTCCTGCAGCTCAGGGGGATACCAGGAGCTTTGGCTCAGGCAGGTTCCACAGATAGGAAGTTTTTGTACCCAGAGCACAGGTTGGAGACAGCAGGGGCTCAGTAAAGACCGTGGTTTCACACTTACTGGCTGCTGCTGGCGTTTTTCACGCTCAAGTTCTGCATGCCACAATTCAGCTGCAGAGAGAGAGAGAAAGGGGATCAGCTGTCACACCGCACGGCCCAGCCAGCACAGGGCACTCAGCACTGCCCGTACTTCTGGAGAGGGGATTGCAGACCATGAGCTGCTCTGCAGGAAACGTCCCTGGCTGCACCAAGGGGCCTGGGCAGCTGGGACCTTTCCAGAGCATCCCAGTCACCATGGCAGTCGTCACTCCTCAGTGACACCTTGCCTGCCCCCCCTCCCGAGGATGCTGGCAGGCATCCTTCACCCCTTCCCAGCGACACGCTGATTCACCCCTGAGAGGGCCAAGAGAAGGGCTCCTGGAGGTGAGTGGCTGCGAGGACGAGACAGGCTGTGGAGACGTGAGTCAGCGCAGCGGCGCGTGGGAGGCGAGAGCAGCGAGACTGAATCACGCCAGCCCCAAGGAAGCTCCTCGGTGCGGGGAACAGGCCTGTGCCCCAGCTGCCTGAGTGGGACGGGAGCAGCAGAGCTTCCTCACCAGCCCACCCACACACTCCAGGCTCTGCAGGAACGATGGGGCTGGAGGATGTGTGTGCACACAAATCCTACCTGCTCTGCAGGACAACCTGCAGGTGATACCAACCTGCAGGGCTTTAGCCTGCTGCCTCGAAGCCCCGCTGCCCTCTCCCTGCTCCCCACCATGGCAGAGCGAGGGGTAGATGCACACACCAGACACTCACCACAGTGGATCTGGACCGGTAGTAGGGCTGTACGATGGGGAGACCCAGTGGTGTGACCCACTCCACTGTCCGTCCCGACTGGGCAATGAGCTTGGCGCTCTCTGTCAGCCAGTTCTTCAGGGAAAGTGGGGAAGAAAGGGGCTGGAGTTAGTAAGGGCAGCTGGGAGATCCCCTCCCAGCACAGGCGAGCCTGACTTCTGCCTTACAGGGGAGTTTGGCCCTGCAGCAGGCACCATCCCACACCTCTGGGCTGGGACAGGAGGACCCTCTCTGGGCCAGGACCCAGAAGAACCATCCTCCCCATGGAGCATCCCCTGACCTGTGTATGGGTGGGCCAGGGAAGAAGAAAAGGCAGAGAGAGAGAAGAGGAAACGGGCACCTTACCTGGATATCTCGAGTTGCTGAGAACATCTCCTTGATGCCATTGAACACTTGCTTTACCAGGTAGTGAGATGCTTCCCACAAGTATTCCTGCACCGAGCAAAGGTGGAGCAAGGAGTCAGGCAAAAAGGCAGCGAAAGATGTGAAGCAAAGTGATGGGACCTGGGGTGAGCTAAAAGAGCATCTCCCTGCTCTCTGGTGCCTCCAAATTGCCTCCATCACAGACTGTGCTAAGTCCTGAGTGGCTGTGGGTTGTGCTGGAGGGAGCCTGAGATCAGCATTTCAGACAGCTCCTTGTCCAAGGACAGGCTGATCTCTGTGTAACATCCCTGCATGAAGAGGAGGCTCTTGCTGCCTCATCTGCCCCAGGAACGTAACACACGGCAGAAATGCTCCAAGGACCAACCTGCCCCAGGAAATCACCCACTGTGCTCAGCAGGGACTGTCTCGTGATGGGGTCATGGAACAAGAAATAGGCATCAGGAGGAGCAAGCCTCCAAGAGCTCTGCTAGAGACAAGGGCCACTTCCAGAGGGAAGAGCAGAGCCACAAACCTTGCTTTGCATCTGAAACACAAGCTGAGGCTGTCAGGGCACTGAGCAGGGCCCAGGAAGGATCAGGAGCAGCCCCACCTGAAGAATCCCTCCCTGCCCACGGGGGCTAGCAGACAGCTCTCCTGCAGGCTGGGCGAGCCTGGCACAGGCACGGGGGGCTCAGTCCTGCACAACCCTCTGCCAGCTGAGATTTGGGGGGTAAGGGAAGAGCAAGGCAGGAAGGAAACCCATGAGAAGGGCAGAGCAGGTCCCTCTCCCAGCAGGGCCTGAGAGCCAAGCAAATGCTGCTGGGGGAGGCTGGGGGAGGGTGGGGCAGACACGTTACCTCAGGGAACTCATCAATCTCCTTGAGGCGCTTCTCCATCTGCAGCCGCCCGCCGTAGCGTGTGACACCGTACACCACCGTCATCACCGTCTGCTTCACCACCTTGCGGCTGATGAAGCCTTGCAGCACCTGGGCAATCTTCACCCCCTGTTCAGCATCCTTCTTCCGAAACTCCTCCACCTGAGGAGAGCAGCATCCCGGGAGGTCAGCCCCACTGCGAGCCGTGCTGGCCCAAGTCCCCTCCATGGCTGGGGGAGAGTCAGGGGAACCACACGAGGCCTCCTGGAGCTGTGCACTGCCTGGCTTGAACTCCCACCAGAAGCCCTGCAGCTTGACCAGCCCTGGTTAACAGAGACTAACTGCTGAAGGAATCAAGAGGCATCTGGATCTCTCAGACAACGGTGCCTGTGAGGACCAGAGCTTTCCACTGCTATCTCAGCAAAGCTGTCTCACTTAGCACCTGGGTGCTGCTGGACATCACAAGGACACGGCACTAGGACTGTGGCTCAGGACTCAAGTTCTCCTGCCTCTGCCTCCCCCAACGATAACTCTGAGCAACCCCTGCACCCTCTGTGTGCTCCTCCTGCCCTCTGGTACAGTGCTGCCTGGGTAAAACATCTGCTGAGACCCAGAAGGCAGAGCCAGGGGTTCAATGCCAGTTGAGTCTGGTAGATCTCAGCACACTTCCCAACAGGCTCATTTCACATCGTGTCTTGCCAGGAAAACTGAAGACTTAGCAGCAGTGAATCCCTCCCCTCTCCCTCCTACTCAGCTCAAAGAAAACCCCATAACCTGCAGACCAGCCAGCTGTGACCAAGAGATGAGGAACATTCTGCTCTCTTCCACCTCTCTACCCTACTTGTCCCAGACTTCATTCAGGAGAAGTGAGGACTGCAGAAAGCCCAGTGGATTTCTCACAGCTGCCTCTGTCAGGACAGATCCCCACTGCAGTGGTTCCTGTTCGGGAAGGGAGGGACTCTCTGCTGTGACCAGCTCATGCCTTCCCAGCACTCTGTGCACTGCTCTTACCTCGACCTTCCCCCTGGGAGCTGCAGTGACCCCAAGCAAAACACTGGCCAGGGGGAAAGGCAGGTCTAAGAGGACAATTCCCCATGTCCCCTCTATGCCTCACCTGCTGGGCCACCACGCTGTAGACATCCTGAGGGACACTGCAGGGCATCAGATTGACGGAGATGGCACCAATAAGGTCCCGGCCAAGAGCTGCATAGTGCTGCAGACCATTGCAAGAGCCGTCCTGCATGTGGGAAGAGAGCAGGGTGGAAACAAGGCGTCAGTGTGTGGATGGAGCCTTCCTCATCTGTCCCTGCTCAGCAGTGAATATGCTGGGCTCAGGTTATGGCCATTTACTGTCCCCTCTCTTCAGTCAGGTTTGCAGCTGCTCACCCAGCAGTGGCCAGGGCCACAGCAGTTTTCGTGTCTGGGTCTCATCACCAGCTACTCCTGCCTATGAGGTTTGGAAAAAAAGAAAAGAAAACCTGACATCACACTGCCCCCTCCATGAATTTCCAAAGACATCAGAGCCCTGTGGAAACACTGGAAAACAGGAGATGTGGAAAATGACAAATCTGTCTGGGATGCTAAAAGAAGCCCCAAGGGCCACCAGTCACAACCACCTCAGAAAACCCAGGATCAGAGGCAGAGGAGGAAGGCAGGCCAGCCCTGACTGCGGGGCTCCAACGAGCTGTGCTGTCTCTGTGCCACGGCTGCTGAAAAAACCATCCTTCTGACAGGAACCAGCTCCGACCCAGCCCTTCCCAACCCACAGCCAGAGGCACACTGACCAACCTGTCACAGCAGTTGCCCCACAGCCCTCCCGACACCACCATCAGCCTGGATCAGACAGGACCTGAACACTGGCACGGGAAGGTCCTGCTGTTCCCCAGACAGCACCAGCAGAACCACCTCTCACAGATGTGCGGCTGCTCTGGACCATCCCTGCTCCTCCTGGTCAAAGGGAGCTGGCAGCTGCCAGCAGGATCAGCCCTGCTCTCCTCTCCCTCCTCCCCACACCCTGCAGTGCAGCAAGTTGCAGAGCTGAGATCTGTCAGGGCTCGGCAGCCACCGCAGCAGAAGAGCTGTCACTGTTAACCAAGCACTGATGACTCAGGTGGAAAGAGACTCGGGTGCCCTCCAGAAGAAGTCCTTGCTTGAATTTCATTATCAGCACCTCCACACACCCTCGACTGCTCTCTTGATCTTTTGCTGTCATAACAGCAGTTTAGATGGTCTCATACATATTCCAGACCATTGCTACTGGTAGAATACACCCCTATCCTCCCCCCACACCTCATTAGGGCCATCTGATCTTCTAACGAGATAGATGAGCAAACCAGGAAAACGATTAATCCTTGTCTCCCAAGCAGCAAGAGGATCCATCAGTGCAGACAGAGAGCTGGCTGGGCAGCAGCTGCAGGCAGAGCTGCAGATCTGCTGGGACACAGCAGGGAGAGAGGGCTGAGTGCTGGCTAACGGGAGCACTGCCTGGCTCCTCTCCCTGAGCCGGGAAGGACAGACACCTCCAGAGAGCTGAGCAGCACCTGACAACTGCACCTGCCCCACTCAGAGCGGGACCAAGCAGGGACAGGGCCTGTGGTGAGTGACAGCCACGTCACTGAACGCAGGGGCAGAGATCAGCCCTTCTTCAGAGGTCTAGACCTCCCACCTTTGGCTCCTGCAGAGCTGCTTGGCTCCAGCCTTGGAACAGGAGTGGAGCAAAAGCCCCCAGAGCTTCAGTGCAGCCCCCAGCACTTCAGATGGGCACCACAGCACATCCCACCCAGCCAGGGCTGGGCTGACTTCCAGTCCTGATCCCGCAGCTGGAGAAGGCAAGACCAGCCTGGCTCTCACCCTGTGGGACGCTGACAGCAATCTCCCAGACAGGCTCTGCTCCAGCCAAAGGAAGCAAAGTGGCACTTAACTGTGCTGGTTCATTAACGGCTGCACGCAGCGGCAAATCGCTGGAGTTCTCGAGCCAAGATGCCTGCAGACTGCACTCCTGTTCTGAAGAAAGCCTGGCCACACGGCTAATGAACACAGTGCTGGAGGCCTGGATGGTTCTGCCCTGCCCTGAGCTTCCTGCCCCTGCTCAGCCACGAGCCATGCAGATCCCTTGGGCTCCTACCTGGTGAACCGGGAAGTGAGAGATGTAGGCTGCTGGATCCGGGGACCTCGAGGCTTTGGCGATTTCCATACAGCACGCCAAGGCTTGCCAGGGCTCGTCGGTGTTCATCCACCACTTCCTGCCCTGGGAAGAGGAAAGCACAGGCTGGTAGGAGCAGGCAGTGCCCTTGGACACTCCAAAGCAAAGGCAGGAGCCCCTGTGCTCTTGGGATATACTGGGCAAGGCATCTCCTCCCAGCACGTCTCCATTCCCCTAACATTTCCTCGGGTTTTTAGACAGAAATGTGTTATTTAGGAAACTCTGCAACGTTTTGTTTCCCTTTTTCCTCTCAAAGCATTATCTTTCAAAATGGTTTTGTTTGAAAATCCCTTTGATTTCTGTTTTGCTTTCTAGAAGCTATGCTGAGTATGAGGAACCATTAAGTCTCTTCTGAACTTGAAGATGACACTGATCCCTTTTTTTCCTCAGTGTATTTGGACAATTCCTACTTGGACTCCAACACAGAGGAATTTCCTCACTTTTCAGTTTGGTCATTGAAGGGAAACCTCCCAACCCACCTGGGGGTGTCTGCAGGCTCCCAGAGCCCACGCTACTGCCCCGTGGTTCAGGGTCCCACCACTCCACCCCAAAAGCAAGCAGAGCCCTGCCAGCCCTTCCCCACGTACCGTGAGCGGGTGGTCAGCGGAGTCCAAGATCTCCTCCATGATTTCATTGGCGTACTCCAGCCGCTCCTGCAGAGTGTTCTTCTTCTTCAGCCCCGTCAGGTTAATGAGGTGGATCTTCAGCCAGTCGAGGCCCCTGGGCCCCAGTGGCCTTCCCTCTGCGAAAAGCAGGATGGCCCGGGTGACATCGTTACCGAGGTGGTTGAAATAAGGTGGGCAAGGGTAAGTCCTGCCCCGGAAATCCATGTTGTGAGGGAACCAGAACACCTTGTCCCGGACGTAGTTGGCGATGGAGAGCTTATAGAGCGCGTCCATGCGCAAGCTGTGCATCTCAGCTGTCTTCTTCTTGCACTGCAGCAGCGTGTGCTTCTGGGACTTGCTCCAGGCAGAGGAGTTGCTGGGAGCAGCAGGAAGCCTGGGGGCCTCAGAGATGGGTGGTGGGATGTCCAGCTTCTCATTGCCTTTGTCATTGAAGATGGAGATGATGATATCCAGCACTGGCTGGTTAATCTTCCAGGCGCAGTTGCCCAGCTGGTTCAGGGCATCCAGCACGGGGTGGAGGTTCACTGGAGGACACTGCTCCAGGAGCAGCTGGTGCTGGACGGCCCCGTCCACAAAGCGCATCAACGTGGTGTCATTGAGGACAAAGGCACCGAAGTTGGGGGAGGTCCAGGGTACTGGGGGACACAGCATAGGGATGGCAGAGGAGTTAAAGGTCAGCAAGGTCTCTGCAGCATCTGACACAATCTGGGAGAAGATGGGATGGGGCTTTATCAGCCCAACCTGGAGAGGAAAATCACAGAGGTGAAGATCAGCAGGAGAGGACTAGGGCTGGAGTCTGGAAGAGCATGTGGTCAATGAACCATTACATGCTGATCATGCTAAGTCCTGACACTGTCCACACAGAACCAGAAGCTCCTCAGAGTGTCCCTGAGCAGGAGAGGCAGCAGGAAAAGAGGAAATGAGCCTTGCAAAGGCCTGGTTCTGATGAAGAGGTGACCCGCACAGTCCCAGAGCCCCCAGGACAAGGCTCACCTGCCAGCTGCTGTGGAAGGAGTAGATGTGGTAGAGGACAGGGATAAGCTTGGGCTCCAGGCGACAGTTGAGGGTGTTCCTGGGCACCTTGACAGACTGCACCAGGAGTTCCAGCAGGTGCATGCCCAGGCGCATGAGGAGCATGTATGGCCAGCTGCAGTCCTTCAAGTTCAGGGAAGGTCCAAAGCCTGCTTCTGCCACCAGCTTCTCCCAGTATTCCCGTGGCAAGTACTTGTCAGGCTGGGAGGTGGAAGGAGAAAATGGGGTCAGCTGGAGAAGCCAGCCATGCTGTTCCCAGGGAATTTGCTGGCTGGGATCTATGTACCTAGAACATGGCTCTGAGAAGGACCCTCCTGTCTCTGTGTCCCTGTGAGGTGCCCCCTGACAGGGGTATGTGGGGGAAGGACTGCCAACAGGGACAAGCCTGACGGTGAGAACCTGCTTCTGCTGCAGGCCAGGACAGCGGTGCCACAAAGCCCTTCCTCTTGCCACATCCCTGTGCTGACACCCTGAGCCCACCCTGTCCTGACCTGCTCACCCAGCCCTTGAGCTGCCCAGATCGGTGGCCTTGGCCCCTTTCTCCCCTCCCATCCTGCCCAGCAAAGCACACCCTGCTCAAGCCCCAGAGCTCTCCTGGCTCCAAGGGATCAGCTCTGCTCATTTAAAACCTTCTGGCTCAGGAATACCCACTGCTCTGGGTCACCAGAACTGACCTGCCTCTTGCCATGGGGCAAGGGGTCTGCCAAGCGCTCGATGGGGCCTTACTTGTCCTGGTGGCCTCTGCAGCAGCAGAATCCCACAACCTGGACCTTGTGCTTGTGAGGAGGTGGAAAGACAAACTGCCTCACCCCATCTCTGCTCTGCTGCTGTGGAACCTGCAGGTCCCAGGACCCCCCTCTCCCAGGCACACCTACCTGGCCGTCCTTTGCCAGCAGGTGGATGTAGTCCTCATACACCTCCTGTACCTTCTCCAGCTGCCGGCTGCGCAGCTTCCTCTGGGTGATGTATCTGTCATAGACTTTGGAGCCCAGCTCCCTGGCCAAGACAGCCAGGGACTCTCCTTGTGGAGAGAGGGTGTTGAGGGTCTGAGAAAGAGGAAGACAAAAAGGGTCTTAGGAGGGAGGAACAGAAAGATGGAGCAGAGACAAAGTGGGAGTAAAAGCCCCTGTGTGGGGAGCATAAAAATACACTGATTCCTGTGATGCTGAGCAGGTGATGAAGAAGGAAACATGGTCAGACAGAACCTGCACCTAATGACCTGGGCAAATTTGAGGCTCATGTTCTGGTTCTGCTGCCTGAGCAGGACATCAGTGCTTTGTGGCTGCCTGTTCCTGTGGCTCTGTGAGGGCAGGGCAGGGTCCTACCTGCAGCATGATGCCCACGTACTCCTCATCCGGCAGCAGGCACAGGTAGGGGTAGAGAGTGTTGTACCCCGACGCTGTCTTGACCTTGGACATCTTGAGCTTTGACTTCTGCAGGGCCTGGAGGATGGAGTCGTGCCACTGGGAACGAAGGCTGGCCAGCAGTTTGCGCTACACAGAAAGGGAAGCAAGAGAGTGATGCTGTGGTGAGAGCATGTCACCAGGGAGCTGCCACCCTCCCACACAGGCCCTGAGGGCTGAACTGCCCCCTTCCCCCCAGACTCCCTCAGCTTTTACCGCTTTAATGGCTTGTGGGGTCAGAGGTTTGGCTGACTCCACTGACTCGATGGTCACAGTGTTATCCAGCTCCATCTCCAGCTGCTGCTGAAAGCGTTCCTGCAGCTCCTGCACAGAGAAATCCAGCTTGGGGTACGACACCGTCTTCTCCTGCAAGAAGAGCGAGACATTAGATGCCAAAAGCCAGAGGAAGAGAAGAGGGGCTCATTCTTCCAGCTTCCCTGCAAGAGGCACGTGGTACCAGTCCCCGAGGAAGGCAACTTTCTGGGACTTCTGAGGTGTGTGACTGGCAAACCCCAGGGAGTCTGGAGTAACAGGTCTCTCCAGAGGCTGCTCTCTTCCTGTGTCATCAAGCATCCACCCAGGCACCCCCCCCAGTGCATGAAGATCATCTCCAGCCCCCCTGCCAGCCCTCAGCTTCTGTGTTCCTCTGAAAGGCCGGGGTGAGGCTATTCACTCCATCAGCCTGATGATTTATGTGGGGTATTGAGCAAAGATCAGGCTAAAAAGTACATGTTACAGTCCTGGGCTGGACTCGAGGACACCTGTGAGCACCATTTGTCCAGCTCCAACACCTCTCCAAGCTGCAGAGACACCCCTCAGCTCTGTGGCTTACTTTGGAGTAGAAGTCCTGGAGCAGAGAAGACTTGCAAGTCTGGGGGTTGGGTGGGGGGGGCAGCTGGTAGTTGGGGTCGACAATCCTGATGGCCTTCAGCACCTTCTCCTTCTCATCATCCTCAAACAGGCACTTTTGGAAGAGCTCATCCACGTGGAAGCCATCATTCTTCAGCTGCTGCACACATCTGAAGAGGGGTAGATAAGACAGGCTTAATTTTTCACAAGGGACTGTGAATGTTGGACAAAAATGAGCTCATGATGAGACAGGGAACAAAGCTTTTAAACAGAAGATGAAGTGTGGAGGAGACAGATGGGGGTGAGCCCTTTTGAGGATCCAAGAGCCTTGACTGTAGCAGTCTTTTCCTTTCTCACTTGTGCCCTCAACAGCATCACCGAGACCCCCATGAGCCACACCACAGGACAAGGAGCCACCTCTCCCCAATCCCTGGCAGCCACAAAAGCAAAACACTCTCCCAAAGCCGGGCTTTGGGGCTGGCACCCACCAGGAATGAGCTCTGAGCACAGGGCAGGAGACTGATACCCGGCTCCAGGCCGTTCCAGGAGGGCTGGTGGGGTCTCCCCATGCCTGGTGGTTCCCCACAGATTTCCTCTGTGCCATCCTGCAGCCAGGACAGCTGCAGCCTCTCGTTGGAAAGGCTCTGACAGTCCTGGGGAGCGGGATGTGCCCCACACACCTGCCCTGGGATGCCTCTTCCCTTCTCCTGCACGGTCCTCAGAGCACACTCCATGCAGCAACCTGCAGCTGACTGCATCGATGTCTGCCCAGCCCCAGACAGGGGAAGAACGGTGCAGAAATGGGCATAACTGGGAAACCCACAGAAGGCAGATGCCTCAGTCCACCAAGAGCGTGGCTGTTGGGCAGCCTGGCAGCAGGACACTGTCCTGTGGAACACGGGAGCTCTCCCTGCCCTCCACACACAGCCAGGAGACAGCTCTCAGGGCTGCAGGAGCTGCTGGGGTGGGAGCTGCCTCCAGGGCACAGCCTGTCCCGACAAGGGCACTCGCCTCAGGTTACAGCCACCAATGATACACCCCTCCAGCCTGCACCTCTGCTGAGCAGGCAGCTTTCACCTTCACACTCGGGTGGGGAGACTGAGCTCCACTGCTGCTGTGAGACTGGGCAAAAAAATCCAGGTTCCTTCACCCTCAAATAACCCTGCTGTCCCCTCCAGCCCGAGGCAGCAGAAGGGAACCCACAGGGCTGGGCACAGCTCAGGCAAAGGGCAGGGGACTGTGGTTCATGCACTGAGCCCGGGCACAGGAGCAGGGCCACAGCAGGAACAGCCTGAGCACCAGGAAGTGCCTGCGAGGAAGGTCTCTTCCCTGCAGCCCCCATCGCTGCTGGGGACCAGAATCCCCTGCACACGCCAACATCTCTCACTGCCCAGGCCCACGGAGGATGATGCTGTGGGGCCACATCCTCCCGGCTGGAGCCAAACTCCGGGGCACAGCAGAGCCCAGAGCCCCACCTGCTGTCGGGCCACCCCCTGCTGGTGACACCAGAAGGACAGACCAGGATGACAGTGACACCAGCCAGGTCCCCATCAGCCACAGGAGGTAACATGCAGGAGCCATTCCTACTGGGCAGCGGTGGAGGGGCCAGCAGGAGAGACCCCAGGATGGGTGTAGAACCAAGGAGCACCTGACTAAAGAGAGGCTGCTCCCAGCCCAGGGAGCTGCTCTGAGGGGAGCAGACACACGTCTGGCCAGAACCAAGGTTGTTCTCACCTCCTACATCTCCCTTCCCTGCAAGATCTCAGACAAACTCCCTATCAGCTTGGGGTGGCAAGCAGGGTCCAGTGTGGGAGCCCTGCCTGCCCCTAAATCTGGCCATGAGAAGTGGGTCAGAGCACCCAGACGTGCACCCAGCAGGGGCAGCTCCTCCCCAGAGCCAGCTCCCAGTTCTCCCAGCACAGGCTGTGGAGGTGCTGCCCTGGGCTGGGTGGCAGGTGAAGTGTGTTACCTCCAGATGGCTTGGGTGGACGCCCGGCTCCGGCCCATGCA